CCTCCCATCTGATCTGGATCCATCTTACCCAAAAAGCTCTGCCGTGGGTGTTTTTCTTATTTTGGTTGATGTTTCTACATCTTTTTGTTTAATGTTCAAGCTTATACATGTTCCGTTTGAAAATCAATGAAAATCAAAAATAAAAAAAAATTTTTTTGTTTTTTTTATTTGCCCCAACCCGGAGTTCTTTTTTTCATTTGTCCTTTGCCTTCGGGGAGGCCCGGCAAGGCCCGGTTGGACTTGGGGTTGGCCCTTTGGTTGTTTAATTCGGCATTATTTGGGCTTCCTTTTGGGGGGGGGTTAAAAGAGGTTTGGGTTTGTTTTCATTTCCTTTTTTGGGTTGGCCTTGGGGTATTTATAGGCCTTTGTGAGGTATCCACGTGGCTTGCTTAGCAGGATAATTGGAGCCTGACGTGTCTATCCAGACGATTATTTCGGGACCAGGAATTTGAGAGGTATTCAGATGCACGGATGTCCACCATATTTGTTGTGCCACTCGTCATAAGGAATCAGGTGCGGGCATGCTTATTGTCATTGTTATGCAGCTATTTGAGCAGGAAGTTTTGGATTCATTTCTCACTTCGGTCATAAAGGAATTACTGTAGCAGTCCGAGGCTTGGCACCTCGGACCTGTCCTTACACTATTCCCCCCCGAAGTCATTCACTTGTGAATGATGTTGCTGGGGATAATGAGGGGAGTGCATGAACAAAGAAAATACGGATAAGTCATGGGAGTATAAGGAAGAAAGCTGTAATTTAAATTTAGACATAACCATAGCTAATAATGAAATACGTAACAGTGGGTCATACTGGGGTGCCTTAAATAGAATATGACCGGAGCGATCATGGCCGTGGTTGTGGTGAAAATAATGACCGGAGTCATAATGTAAAAGATGATGACTGGAGTTATAATGGAGCCAAGGTCATGATAAAAAATGATAACTGGAGTTATAAAGGCCAAGGCCGTGATGGAAAATGATGACCGGAGCCGTAACAAAATATGATGACCAGAGTCATAAGGGCCGGAGCCTAGGTAGAGTATGTGACATGTGGTCGCAGTAACCAAGACCGAAGTAGAACATGTCTCTGTGGCCGGAGCCGAAGTAAAACACCATGCCAGTTAAAAAGCGCAATTGTATAAGTAAACAGAAGTGCTGAGCTAGGCTTAAGTATAAAGATGGAAGTCAGAATGGCCGGAGCCATAATAAAATATAATGACCAGAGTCATAATGGCTGGAGCCAAAATAAAATGTGTGATGCTGGATCATTGCGACCGAAGTCGATGTGAAATGTAATGTATGATTATTGTGGTCGGAGCCGAAGTGAAACATTTGCAAAATTGAGAATGTATAAAAGTGAACAAAGGTGTTGAAATGGGCGTAAATGGGCCCGTCTGAAAAGTCTGACAGTTATCCTTGGAATGACGTGTGCAATAAATGCAGCCGTAAAAAGATAACTGCAACAGTTAAACGGGCAAAATTTAAAAAACGAATCGTCGAATCGAAAACGGTATCGTTTATGGTTGTCCGTCGAATTCCAAACGGTGTCAACAGGAACCGTAAGATTAAACGAATTTCAGCCGTTGAGATCTAATTTTGCCCAGAAGTATAAATAGGCATTTTTTCTGCAGAAAGAGGTTTACTTGCATTTCTTTTCCTGCAAAACTTCTGCGAAGAGCTTTACTGTGCGTTTCTTGCGGTATCAACTGGGGATTTCTACATCAAGTCTTTCGAAACCGAAATCAGGTAATGTATACGAACTTCTGATTTTAAGTTAATCGAAGTGTCACTTCTCCTTTCTCCCTTTCTGTGATTGATTTAGAGTCCTTTGAAGGAAGTTAGGGTTAGAGG